TCGGTTTAACTTAATCTTCACAACCATAATTTTATCGACTTTTAAATTAGATATAGAAGTTTACCTTGCTCAGAGTTTTGAAGTCAACACAAATGTACTTGTTCGTGGCGAGTTGGATATGGAATCCCATCATTTCTGTTATCTGTGTTGTCTGTGAGTATGTGTGGGTACGTTCACTAGTTAGGTGAAGCCAAAGAATAAGTATTGAATTTACCTTGATCATCGCTGAGGATTGTTCACGAACTAGACCGACGAGTAACCAATTGAGGGACTTTGCGAAATGGATCCCTTCAAACAGCCTTTCTGTTGTGTCGGAGGTGACCATATCAGTCAACGTTTATTAGATTACTAAGCCAAAGAGAACGTGCTAACAAACAAAGGTGAATGTTTGTATTCAATGATTACCAGATCACACCATGCTCTGCACAAGAACAAACACAATCTGGTCCCTATGATGATTGACAAAAAAATGCGTCCTCGTAAAAGAAAGAAATATCAAATCGTGCAAAGGAAAGCCAGATGGCCAGAAAATAATGTGTTATGTGTTCCTAAAAACCAATTTCCCTCAACGTCTGAGACAAAATAGGCACGTCTTGAAACTCTAAATAAAATATTCGATGTCAAGTGAATTTAATTCGAAGGTGGCCGTGAAAAAAATAATGTTATTATTGTTTCAATCTCATTGACTCTCGACTGCAACAGTCGAAATGGAAACTTTTGTTTCCATTTGTCACTTCGCCTCGAGATAAACATGCATTGAAAAAGCTGGGCTCACTTCCAATTAATCAAGCATTTTTTTCAGAAACGCACCAAAAGAAATCAATCTGAGTTCCGTGGAAGGATTTACTTATTTGTACATCGATACACATCTGCGATCAGACCCAAGACTCTTCTTTGTAAGATTCACAATTCTAAATATACTAATCGAAGCCACATGTCTAGTAATATGATACTTCTTCCATCTCCTCACTGTTCCGACCAATCATCCAATAAGTCATCCATGCATTCTGTCCTAAAGAAAAGTTGCGTCTTGCTTTGGGCTACGACTTATTTCAGGGAACAATATAGCCATCCAAAATAGTACTGGTATATCTATCTACCTTAAAGATGGGTCTGCATCTGAAGCTGATGTGAATGATTCAGAAGTAAATAGCATGTCTAGTACCAGTCTCGAATGTCCAAGTAGCCGCTTTCCCTGTAGTTGAGCAATGTCAGCTGAAAGGCAGTCGCTTGTTCAAAGCGTGGTAGAGTGATTGTATCTTATTTCAGGATGTAAGATCTCTAACTATTTCCTTAGACGACATGCATGGAAGGGTTCTGACAAACCAGGATTCAGCGACCATCAGACACTTAAACGGTAACTACAGCTGGACCAATAAAGACAATGAACTAGCGCAAAACATCTTTCATTCAAGCAAAATTCTATCGTAGCAGTTTCAGTTCAAAGGTGGTTTGGTTTCAAACATGGATAATTTCTACTGATCGTTTCTTGATATCATTTGATATTCCTAATCAACACAACTCAACTGTTATTGGTTAGATTCAGATTTGACAGAAAACTAGAACTTATTACCTTTCGGCTCAAGGCTTCTTTCTTTACGGTTCAGTGACGTAGAATCATACTTACATTACGTACGTCCTTGCTTTGACGAAGGGACACTAGTTTCCAGAATGCCAATAGTCATTCATTTAAAAAGGATGTACCCAACATTCGTTACGTAAGACTGTCCCCGTCAGATTGTCATTATTCATGGGTTTCACAAAAGTTGTCCACGATATTGTCACGTAAGTCTTTCCCCGTCACAATGTCATAAATCATGGGTTTCACAAACAGTTGTTCACGACATCCTTCATTTGAGTCTTTCCCTAACACTAACGCGCCATGATGCCACAAATGCTCTTCAAGTGACCCGTGAAGGTCCGGATTAAAATATTGGCCTTCAGTAACCCATGCTTGTCGTAAGAGGTGACTAACGGGTTCGGGTGGTCAGGCTCGCTGGCCTGGTTGACACGTGTCATCGGTTCCCAATTGCGCAGATCGATGCTCATGCTGTTGATCACTGGATTGTCTGGTCCAGACTTGATTATTTACAGACCGCCGCCATATGGCTGGAATATTGCTGAGTGCGGCGTAAAACTAAACTCACTCACTCACTCACTGTTTAAGTCACTCAGACACCCACTTTGTTTAGAGCCATCACCTTTGTCTAGTGAGTGCAATATAACAATTACTTCCGAAAACTTCCTATCACACCCGTAAGAACACTACCGAAACATATGATGCATATGTGTGTTGTCAAATCTAAAACTGCACCCTTGGTCTTCTGAACCATCTTCATGACTGACGCAAGACTATGCCAATGCCGATGACCCAGCTGTTACAATGTTATACATAGTTATACAGCAGCATTACAAGCAACGCTGAGTCTGCCAAATACTTTGTAATTAGTAATTACATTCCTGGAAGCCTTTTTGTTTAGCGAATTACGTAAATGATGCAAAAACTATGTTTATTTCACATTATTCATGGAAATCTAAGGTCCATACTGCACTGCACTGACGCAGCGGAATCAGTTTGGAATTTCCCAAAGGGAAATGTCTGTTAATCCCATTCAATTAGGTTTTTTTAAAGTGAATTTTGATGACAATGATCACATTGTGTGTATCTCATGCCTGGCGTATTTGTTACTTAATTAACTTTGTACCATCGCACCACGGCGGCATGGAGCGTTTCTGCTGAGCTGTCGGTCTCCGTCTCGATTATTCACAGGCAGCCGTGACAAAGCTGGAATGTGGCGTTGTCCTTCGTCCCTTAACGGGGCGGTCGGGTAGCCTAATGGTTAAAGCGTTAGCTCGTCACGCCGAAGACCCGGGTTCGAATCCCCACATGGGTACAATGTGTGAAGCCCATTTCTGGTGTCCCCCGGCGTGTTGTTGCTGGAATATTGCTAAAAGCGGCGTAAAACCAAACTCAGTCAGTCAGTCAGTCAGTCGTCCCTTAACGTGGAATCTTTACTGGATTAGATTCAGCCCCCAAGTTATGTCTGTCTTCAAAGGGGACTCAAATGATTGGGTGGTTTGTCGAATTGGTAAATTGTTATGCATGCTATTAATCACTGGTTTGTCCGGTCTAGACGCGAATATGTTCGGGCTTATATGTTTGGAGATAAAAACAAGCGAGAACTCCCTGGATAAAATTAAAAAAGTTTGGTTTTACGCCGCTTTTAGCAATATTCCAGCAACATCACGGCGGGGGACACTAGAAATGGGCTTCACACATTGTACCCATGTGGGGATTCGAACACGGGTCTTCGGCGTGACGAGCCAACGCTTTAACCATTAGGTTACCCCACTGCCCCGCAATGATGTGATCCGGTGCATCAATTTTAGACAAGCTGTTTGGTGATTTAAGTTCAAAGGATTGTTTGCTACGTGCACTCACCGCCTTAAGATAAGGTTGGGAGGAAGCAGGCTTAAACACCATCGACATTTTGCTGCTGGGCAGTACGATAACAAGAAATAGATACATTTTCGAAATATGTTTGGCAAATACGTGTCGTTTGTTTTTGTGCATAACGTCAAGCTCAGCCTTATTGAACCAATGTGACCGACGTCTGCCTGTAACCGAGCATACAGGAGCAGACAATCCAGTGATTGACAACATCAGCAGCGATGTACACAAATGGGTCAATGGCATACATAAACCAAATTAGTTTCATAATCTGAACAGGCAAAGAATGAGTGAATGAGTTTAGTATTACCCAAAATTATTTTAGCTATATGATAGCAATATCACGGTGGGGACACCGGAAATGGGCTTCACATATTGTACCCATGTCGGGAATCGAACTCGGGTCTTCGGCGTGACGGGCAAACGCTTTAAGTTACCCCATCGCCAGAATAGGCAAAGAATAAAATATCATTGCAAAACATTTATACTGGGATAAGATTATATTGAGGTTTTTGTTCGGACAAAATAGGCCCGTTACATTGAATATTTACTATCCAGAATATTCAAAACCAACTATGATAAAGTTATGTTCATATTTCACTGCCAGGCTGGTTTGAGATAAAGCATCATTTGGCAGTAAAGAAAAGATTACTCAGTTTGAAACTAAATTAACCATTGAAAGCATTTTCCTGATGTGAAATGTCATTCCAGGCGAAAGGGTTTTGACGTTCATCCAATTATTTTCAAAAGCACATTCGTTCCAAGCCAAAAACATTTAGAATACCTACATACATATACCTCTGAACAAAACTAATCCTAAAACTAATCACATTCAATCGAGATATTGAATTACTAGTAAAGCTCAGTGAAATGGCTGAATTAACGATCTCTCGTCACATGGACATCTTGGAACTAGCGTTCATTACATGTTCTTTGGAAGATTGGAAAGGGGCTTTAGTTCCATGGCAAGGTCTTTGTCCGTCCGTGTTGTGCTTCATATTGGTTTATTGGACGCGTACATGTCGCTGCGATAGCTGAGTGCACAGAATAACAGCACACTGCTGGGAATCCTTTTGAGGCTAATTCAGTTTCAAGTTTCGTTATCTGTTTTACCGACACATTTCCTCCCAAACTGGCCTTTTAACAAAATAGCAAATCAGGCGTATGCAAAAGTAGCACACCACGAATACATTCGATTTAATATCAACTTCTATTTTCGCTATTTTCTACAAATTCAAGAAAAACGTCCAATAGAAACAAACCATACAATTATATATGAAAGCCCCAGACCACTGTAAGTAGAAAATATATACATATTAGAATTCGTAAATATAAATATCGAATCCGAAAAAATAATCTAAAAAAACACACAAAAGGAATAATCTGAAAACAATATTCAAGATTTCTGATATCTCTATTTTCGTATTTTCCAAACTCTTTCAGGTGTTTATAATTAGTAAAAGAACAAGCGTCGAGCTGATTTTAATATGCATGTAACGACTATAAATGACACACGGCGTTCTATCACACATAACAGTCCCGGATACACCGTACGTGCTTCAGCTACTGATGGCTGAACACAAGCCGTGATCACAGGGGAAGTACCTCTAACGACAGTCACTGATTATGGCAAGGGATTAAGGGCAAATGCTTGACGCGACCTTACATTCTCTGCCAACATATGGATCGAGGACAATGAAGTAGCATTTCATTTAATATGCTGAACTCCAATCGACCAATAACCGCCACTCCCTTGATTGCGCCTTTAAAACGGGACACGATACCTTCAAGATAAATGCATCGACTTATATTTATGACTGGCACAACGGCGAGAAGACTGGGTGAATGAAGAGACGTATCCAGGCCTGCTAAACAAGCGTATGCATTTCTCTGGATCATTTACTATGGCTGTTACAACCACAAACGTTGGGAATTCTACAATGTACCACAACATGAGCATGGAATACTGTAGAGACTATTTGCTAGCTTTGATGGGACCCATAAAGAAAGGTGAGTCTTTTCCCCTATAAGCAAATTTTCAACCTTTACTCGTTCCAAACCTCGGATTCCTAGCTATATTTTCAAGAACCTGTTCTTATAAGGCGGTCTGTGCTTACCTGCCATTTTCATAAACATTCTGAAACATATATCCCATGCATTGTTGTTCGTTTAGGAACATATCTATAAACACGAATAATACTGGCTACATACGGCAATTCTCAGTTGTTGTCTTGTAAGTGTTGAGCATGCATGAATGCATTATTAATAGTTGCAATAATAAATATTGCTTATCAAAACAAAATATACTTAAATTATGTTTTTATGAATAAATTGCCAATTACCAGTTCACAGATGGCATGTGTGTCCTATTCCATACATATGATCGCTTTTGTAGATAGATAATCGATCACCACAATTGCCAATGTACATATGCGAGTGTAGCAGAGCATACTGCCATATTGTTTTAAGAATATTATTTTAATATAATGTTGTGTTAAAAGCAACATAGGAATGTTGTATATGGCTACATGTATAAATAAAGCCTAATTATTTATTGTGAATTGAATAAGTAAATTCTGAGAAGGGTGTGTTGTACACGCCTGGATTATCATCAAAACTGCAGGACAATGACACTGTTTCATGAACAAACACTTACATATGTACACGTTCTGACGATATAGTCTGTTACTCATTTGTATAAAAGAGGTTCTGATTTGCGTGACTCACTACTAGGATTTCGTTTCTCGCTTCTGTCCTGTCATATGTGTAACAATACCTTTGACCTGTAGTGGTTTCAACTAGATGTCACAAATTCTATATCTGGTAACGTTTAAGGAATAACTTGGAGTCGCCGTTGGCTCTGTGGTCTAATGTGCCGTGTTTGTGTCGCATAGTCGTGCCAGGATCTGCTGATACAGGGGTTTGAAACACAGATCTATGTTTACTGAATAAAACCCAGGTTTATCAGACCTACACTTGATCGTTGGCTTCACCAAAGAGTAAAATGTTTACGTGCTGTCTCATAGTTAGCACTCTGTACATCATAAGTGTTACTGCAATACTGTTCAAACCTTACGGGCAGCTATTAGCAATATTCTACATGTACCTCTGCAGCGGACATTGGCTTCATACATTGTACATGTATCCATATGGGAATTCGAACCCAGGTCTTCGGCGGTGTGTGTGTGCGGGGATGGGATAAGGCCTTAAGGCAATCAAAGAGTTTAGACCCCTGATAAATGATGTCGAGGTGTCGTTGACGATGACAAAACAAGAAAGCACGATCCACTGCTGTACTTTCTTTCTAACCAGATTCATTTGGCCAGCTGCCGATGTAGTTGAACAAGAACAGGTTGTTGGACAATTGTTCTGGACCAGGCAAGTTTTATCACAAAAATGAATATTGACCGTCACAATATCCGTTTAACTTTCTACCTATGGCGTCTTCAAGTTCCAGTGTTGATAACATTCAACGTTTTTCCCTTGGATAGACATTAGGTATTGTTTGTGTTCAGATTGGAAATGTTCATGAAGAATGATGTTCATTCAACACTTCTCATCCAGTACGCTATAACACATGCGATGGTTATTGTATACGTGTTATCGGTAATGTATTCGGTGTAAAAGTAATGAACACATATGACGTCAGTCCGGACGTCAATGATTGACGTCATAAAGTTTCCCGCGCAACCCGTGCACATGAAGAAATCAACTAATTAATACAAAGTGTCGTATTCATCAAATTGATTAAATGATGAATAGGATGCGTATATCCATGCGACCATACTATTTTTGTGATTGAGAAAAAAGTGGCATTTACGGAGACAATTATTCATTCTTCGTGAAAGGTACAGGAGAGTCATGAGCCTTAAATCTCGTGCACTCAATCAGCAATTGGCATAGCTCATTTGCGGTTAACACCAACCCCACGTATTGTCGCAATACGGCTGCGATGGCATATTTCTCCAATATCCTCGTTATTTCGCCAAGCGATCGGCCAGTGTTAGTTTGCATTTCGTTATCAATAAATAGTTAATTAAACATTAATGTTGTGAGGAGTGGATGGGTGTTTTGTTGATTATATAGACTAGATCTCACTTCCGATGTTCCGTGCTCACAGTAGGACATTATAAATGATATTCGATGCATTTTTGATGAGTCTGAGTGAGCCAGCTGTTACAATCATGAAATAACAACCTTCTATAACACTGTTAAATTCAATTAATAACCAGCTGCAGCCTTCGGTTACAATGTTTGAACTGAATTGGAGGGTAATTGACTGCATAACTTCGGTAACCTGGAATATTATCTCAATTCATCGTTGATGGCATTGTGATGTCCAGAATCAATGACAATGCGAACATGTGGATAAGGTACAGCTTGTTCAGCTTGACCTGAGCTACTCTACATATGCATGACCCGGAAGGTCAAAAGGCAGGTCAAGTTAACTTCATTAAAAAGGGAGCAGAGAAGGTTATTAATGCCTAAAAGCCCGAATCGGAAACATTAAACCATCTCTAGCTTCCTTTTTAAAGAAAGTAAGGACATTGCTGACGATTTCTCGACACTGAGATGTCAAACGGCGACCTTGTCTCGGCTGTTGACAATGAACTGACAAAGGTGCACCCCTTCACTATAATAGACCCAACCAGTTGTGACACGGTCACGCAATGCATTAGTATTCACTTGATCAGGTCAAGCTGAACAAGCTGTAGAGAGTGGTACGAATTATATATGATGCAAATTTCCTACTTTGACCTGTACCATATGTTCCATACGTTTGTTTTTAGGTGGTCAGTTTGCTCGCCTTTGCATGTGTTTGGGAGGAAGGGGGCAGAAAACTCTCACCTGTCCTCTGACATGTGGTATCAGTATTTTTCTATGGTGATTCACAAGCACCTGTTCATGGGGTTTTCGGAATTGTACCATCTGCTTAATAACTGATTTCTTGTTACCATGGAGGGTGTTGTATACCTTACAACATACGGTACCAGTGCCTCCAAAGTAGGCTTCAGCAATGAAAAAGCTGCAGCTTTTGATTTTATATTATTTGAAAATAATTTGCAATTGATGTTGCAATTCAGTGTGATGATTTTACATTATAATGTAATAATGTAAAAGCAGGTTTGTATTCAATGTTTACACAACTGCAGTTAATTCGGCATGCGGCAACGTAGAGGATAAATAATAGTGACGCCACACTGAAAACACTTATTTCATTTCCAAAGACAATTTTCGAAGTCAACATGGACAAGTCTGATAACGTGGTATTTATCCTCTTAGCGGGAAGAGTGGTCGTTTATTTAATTGGGAAATTATGCCCAACAAGCGGTCGTTTATTTAATTGGGAAATTATGCCCAACAAACTGAAGGATAAACCTCATTCATGCGTTATCTAAATGAGATTTCCCTTAATCAACTCTTCCAATACATGATATTGTGATACACTGCAAATGACGTTTCAAGCGTATATTGAATACTTCATTTTGTAAACATCTGGTCGACTATACTAATGATAAGCATTATATAGACCTTCGTCAGTGCCTCGCAAGTTTGTAATTATGTTTCTCTATTACAAGTGAATACGCCATTTGTTATTAAAAGTGACAACATGATTTCCATATTCATAGGACATTTCGGTTAAACAAAGAGTCCATGTGAGATACCACTGTGAGTGATCACTGTGATACCAGGTGTTCGGTGTCGGTGTCCTGCACCAACGTGGCAGCTGTCACCAATATATCCAAAGACAGGTCTGTGGGGCAGTTGAGGAGAAAAAGGGTACATTTGGTACCAGTCACAGTTGAGAAAAGCACTGGACATAATTTTGTCACTGATGCGTCGAATTTGGAATTGTGTTCCACATAAAACATTTTGTAAGGTGACGTATTGTCTGACGAAGCAAGCGACAGGCTGGTTCCTGCCTGAGAGGAACCGACGTGTATTCAGACCAATCAGTGATCACTTTACATCCCGGGCAATTTTCGAGAGCGGAACCAGCGTGTACTAAGACCAATCAGTGATCACTTTACATCATGCAGTTTGACCCCGTGCTCCACACACTTCTTCACTGTCAGGCAAGGGTAGGGTTCGCACAGAGTAGAGCAAATTCGACTTCCGTGGGTCATACGCGGCTTCCTTACATTAATTAGGCGAGGCACACCTCACCTCACCGCCACACCACATGTTGGCCAAATGAATTCACGCATGGCCAGGAAGCAAAGTGGCAGTTGTATTATGAAGTTACTTAAATAAATATGTATTTATCGACAACATGTTTAGAAGGATGTGTATGAATGGAGACATATTTCATCCCTATTAGAATTTATATAGAACCAATATTGATATAGATGAAGTATGGATCATTGTATAAGTGTTAATTAAACCTGAGTGAGTGAGTGAGTGAATGAGTGAGTATGATTTTACGCCGCTTTTAGCAATATTCCAGCAATATCACGGCGGGAGACACCAGAAATGGGCTTCACACATTGTACCCATGTGGGGAATCGAACCCGGGTCTTCGGCGTGACGAGCGAACGCTTTAACCACTAGGCTACCCTACCGCCCCAATTAAACCTGAACATGGCAGTAAAATCAAACGGTATGAATCATCTAACCAGTGATTTGATTGTGCATTTTGCTACGATATGGTTCTACAAGTGCTTATGAACCTTTATCGAAGATGGGAAAGAATTCTGTCATCAAGCAAGCCAAAGTCAGAGTTCGTGAAACAAACACAATTTACTCTCAGCACATTAAGGTACGCGCCAATAAAAATATATTCCCATCTCCAGGAGTAAGTATGACTAGTTTTCGACCAGCGCAGTTTACTCTGACAGAGTAAATATGGTTTTAGGCCGCTTTTAACAGTATTTCAGAAATATCACGGGGACACAAGAATGGGCTTTACGCATTGTATTCATGTAGCGAAATGCATTCGGCGTAACGAGACAACGCTTTAGCACCGCCCCAGTTTACTCAGACTTCCAAGGCAAGGGTCACGGTCGTAT